CCTTTGAAGTTGATGCTAGTGGTATTGTTCATTGGATACCACGTAATCGTCCTCGGCCTTTATCATATCGTAGTCAAATACAGTATAGAATTGCTGTATTTGGTGGTGTGTGGTACAACAGCCGGTCAAATCTTGTGTTTATTCGTGAACGAACCAAATGCATCAACTTTTGTACGATATTTACAACAAGCATTTTATAATCATTTCCGATCCATAACAAATTATTACTTTATACATGATCGTCCTACCTGGACACATATATCAACAGCACATAGCTGGTTGCATAGGCATCCAATTATTTGTTTAGAAGAATATTCTGCTGCAAGTCCTGATTTAAATGCTACTGAATCCGTCTGGTCATGGATGAATCATTTTGTTCAACAGGGCTGTCCAAATTCTCAAAGACGACTTGAACAATTAGTAACTGATGCTTGGCATCGGATTCCACAAACTGTAATACGTGGTTATATTCATCATATCCAAGATATGTGTGATCAAGTTGTATCAAATCAGGGTTGGGCACGTGTAGGATGAAGATAATATGGAATCACCATGAGAACAATATGTTTTTGTATAAAAACTTCTTGCTATGTAGAAATTGATTTGAAAAATAAAAAAGAACAAAGTAAAAAATGATTTTTTTAAAAATTTATTAAAATGTGTCTACATTAAGTAATAGTTCTACAGTCGGTATTTTTTGAATATTATCTTAGAGCATGAACTCAGACAATTCAATAACATATAGAATGATAGACAATTTTATGAGCTATTCAATTATATGGTTTCTTCTTTTATAATTTATTTGTTTAAAGATAAAAATTTCGAAAAAATTCAAAAAAACAGTAAAAAAAATATCGATTTTTTGTCTTTGTAAAGTCGACATCTTTTTACTTTATTCAAATTTTGCTTTTACATATAAATGCAAAAAAATAAATAAATAGACAGGATGATAGAGAATTTGAAGCTCTATCAGAATACGTAATTGCTTTTTTTTAAATATAGTTTTATGATGGTGAAAAAATTAAAAAACTAACTTTAAGTGCAGAAAAAAAATTTTATGTCGGGGAATCTCAGGTTGAGGTGCTTGTGCTGTACCCGATGTTTTTCCATGATACGTAACCGAAAACCAAAATGTAAATACATAGGGTTCCAGAAAACCCCACGGGCTTTCAGAATATCTCATTGGTTTTTAAAAACTATTTTGTTGTGGCGACAATATATGAGAAATACCGACTGAAACTATTTTTTTTCCGGGGGGGATATAATCAAACTAAGCGAAAAACAAAACAAATCGATAATCCATTAGGTCCATTGGTCCTCCCGATTCATCTGTGACATATTTCTTGCACTGAAATTTCATTACAATTACTTAAACTTTTTTGGCTTATATAAACTTCTTAATTGAATGTTTTTGTATGTTACTCCACTGTTGAATGAAAAAGTTTAATAGAATAAAAATAGTTAATAAAATAAAAAAATTGATTTATAGACGAACCCTTCGATTAGAGTTTATAAAATTTGTTATTTACGAACGAGCTTCATAGGGTGTTAGACAATTATTAACCTACGATGCAAAAGTAACCAGAAAAATGTCTCGCCATTTTTCTTGTGGTAAAGCACGTTCCGAGAATATCAAAAATAGTTATTCTGAATGTATTTGGATGTATTTTCGATATTTTTTCATTTTGACCGTAACAACTTCAAATTGAAAGATTTAACTTTGTTTACTTACTACTTTATAAAGCTGAATTTTCTCTGTCAACTAGACGATCTTAGATTATTTTTGCATTGCAAAAACTGGTCAAACTTTTAATTTTACCAAAAGCCTGCTATGTGAAAAACTGTGTTTGTCCCGAAATCTTTCTTGGATAAAAAATGATGTTCAAAAAAACCGCGAATAATTTCCGACCGTTATGTTGTGTATCCTATTTTAACATGTTATTGTCTAGATAATAGTCTGTTCTACAGTTTTATGCCGTAAAAATGTTTTAGTAATGTATTGCAAAAAGGTTATATAAGAAATACAAGTAATTCTCTCTGCTGTACAGCCACAACTCTGCGTTCGAATGCAGCCTAGAATGTTTCGGGAGAAACTAAAGGTTCATCTGCTCAAGCCCTGCTTTGTCATTCCCTCGTCAGCCTCTCGTAAATTAGAAGCAAATTATTGCCGAATAAGAACAGATTTCTCAACTCTACGGGCACATTTACAGATACATAAGCTTGTCGATAATAACATCTGTCAACAATGTTTTGACACGAGAGTTGAAAACTCAAAACACTATTTTTTGTACGGCTTATTATAAGACTAGACTGACCCTTGTCACTACATGGAGAAAGAAGATGTTAAAATTGATTTAAACACGCTTTTATTACGATCTAACTTTGAAGATGAAAATAAATTTAAACTTGTCTATGATGCAGTGTGTAACTTCATAGCCAACACGGGAAGATTCAGTTAGACTGTGTAGACCTATCCTTTTCTTGTTAAACTATTGGGACGGTGCTCTCTTATACGCACATATATGCATTGTTTTATTTATTTATTTATTTTTTTTGCAAGTGACGTTACATTCACAAAAAAACAAAAAAAAGCCGAAACTCACTCATACACGGAATTCTATCTTTATCTGATGTAGTTACATCTGTCTTCTTTCTTTCTTTGTTTGTTTTTCCTTTGTCTGTCTCTTTTACAAAGATGGTATATTGAGCGATATAATGCAATCATTGACTGTGATTTTGTTCAGTATATTACGCTTTTCCTTCTTTCAAACAAATAAAAAGTTTATACTAAATACAAGTACTGAGCGGAGTGCATAATGGAGTGGAAGAGATCACACACTTTCCCGCTCTAGAAAAAAATATTTTCCGTCTGGCCAGGGAAATATTTTTTATTGCGTTCTGTTGCAGAAAGCTAAGGCAAAAACAGTTTATCTATAAGAGACCTTCCTTGCTTTTTTAATTTTGTCAAGTCCGTGACTTACGTACATTTGTCGAAAAGTTCCTGATTTTCTCTTTTTACAAACTTTGTTTTTACGGCATATCAAAGCTTCGCCCATTCCGAGGAGACTAAAAGTGGTACAAAATTTTTGAACATACAGTTCAAAAGCTCTTTAAATGTAGATTATCAACAGATTTTTTTCATTTTTCCGAAATGTATTTTATCACACGAAAAATGGCGAGATATTTTGTTCAATTACTTTTGCATCGTAGGTTAAGTTATTTATCAATATGTCTTATTTTGTCTTGTATGAATTATTAATTTTTTCTGGATTTTTAATACATTTTCTGTATATTGCAATAGATGCTACTTCCGATGAGCGTTTGCCAGCCACTTTAAACTCTTTTGAAAAAAGAAAGCAAAAAGAAGAGTTTTAAAATTTCATAATTTTCTTTATTTCTTTTATATTATTCTTTAACCGATCTAAACTTTTGTTTCTTTATTTGTTTAATTCATTCTCTAATTAACTTTTCGGTTTACATTGATTTAGAAAAACTAATTAAAAGTTTTAGCAGAGAAGACTTCAGTTTCTTTTAGTGTTTGATATTCTATCGCAACCTTTTCGAACAATCAGCAAAATCAATTTTATTATAAATTGAACTAAGCACAAAAAATATTCAACGAATTAAAGATATAGATCCTGTTGATCTTGGAATCTCTTCGACGCTAGAATTATCAGTACTGACTCTATTACATAATATTTCTGAAAAGTTTTTAAATGATCCATAAATATCTTTTGCTTTACCCATGTTTATTTTATTTTTTAATTTTAAATATATTAATGTTTGTCAAATGATTTTTAGCGTTTTTTTCGTAGATTATACTATTTCTTTGCGTTTTTCTGACGCATATAACTTTGCAGCGAAAGATCGTGGAGAGCTGAGCAATCCCCTTGTTTCGTTCAAACTTTTATGCCTTTTTTTGATGGCTATATTAAAAATACTTTTAGTAAAATTTCAGTTCTTTCACTGCCGATATCTCTCTACTTATGATGTTATCCAGTCGACGTGCCTGAACTTTATATTCAGGCAGCCTGGTTTTTTTGATATTTTCTAAAAGCTTTCCTTTTTCCCGGATTAAACCGCGTATAAATGCTGGTATGGCTATACGATATTTGGATAGATTTTTCTTCATAAACGTGGCCTTATCATATGCATCAGCGATAGCCTTAGTCACTGAGTTTGTCATACATTCTGTGTCAGACGAATTAGATACAGTTCGATAAAGAGAGTTAGATACGATGGAAAGTTCACGCTTAAAAACATCCCAATCGGTATGTTTGACTGAGCAAGAGTTAGAAACGGGAGAGAGAGAGGTGTCGAGCGAAAAACAAAAATCCACACAAACTGGCGTATGTCCCGCATTAGACGATTGAGATAACACATTAAAAGAGGTGAAGAACTTCACTAAATTTGAAGAAATGAGTGCAAGGTCTAGTATATTTTTAGAAAGTACATTGCGTATGTAGTAATGGGTGGGCGTGTCATCGTTGAGAAGAGCGATTGTTCCACTACCCGTATGCGATTCAATATGAATACCGCGATGGTTAGAAATTACACGCCCCCATAGTTTGCTTTTTGCGTTAAGATCCTCGAGAATAAGGCACGGAAATGATTTTACCATAGCAACAAACAGATTGTTGTTGAAATGTAAATTTGGTGACGCATAGTATATATACAATTTGAGATTTGAAAAAGACGCTTTGGGAAACTCAACACCGAGTACTTGGTCTGGGAAATTTAAATTCAGGATGTTGAAAGAAATAGGTTTTTTAACCGCGACAAGAATACCCCCACCCCTTACCTTGACACGTTTTTTGAAAATATAGTTAAACTCAGGAAAGAATGTAACAAACAAGTGCTCATCAAACGTAAAAATCTCGTTTAGACAACTTCAGGTTTCATTAGCTGAATAAGGTCAACAAGTTCAGTGAGATGAGCTTTGAAACTGTTTATATTTTGACACATAAATTTACTATTCATGGTTTGTTTACCTGACTGTCACCACCATTTAAGCTGTTTGTAAGAATGCTTGTTGGGTTAGGTATTGCAAGGTTACCATTTGAGTAGGGTTGAGACATTGATACGGACATTGTTGTCTGCAGTTGTTGTGCTGGGTATGGATAAACATTTTGACTCATAATTGGGAATGAATTAAACGTATTCATACATTTTGATAGATCATTCTTTATTTCAATATTTTTGGTCATTTTTATTAATGTTGAGACTAGTTGTTGAACGAATTTATTTAGGTGAACTTGCACATTGCTGATCATTTAATTAAAGTAAACCGACTGACGAGGAATGATCCCCAACTGATAAATCGCTTTTTCAACGAAGCCGAGTGGACTATAGGTAGTCGACGATGCTGATTAATCTTATTTTTTTCTCTCAGACTTATCAAGACACCCTCGTAAAAGGTACCATTAAAGTTTAATAAGCTGAGAAAACCGAAACTGGTATGATCGATTCGTTTCTGTTAGTTAATTGTGATGATTGAGGTTGAATGATGGCAGCGTACGATCGACGTTGCTATT